TAGCCAGATCTTAGAAATCCTGAAGGCTAGAATTCACTGCTGGGACTTAATTCTATGGGAAATGAACAAGAAGTATAAGTTTTTATTGCAGGCCAAAAAGTATTCTGGCTCTGATGCAGTTTTGAATAAATTAATAATGCAGTGATGCCATCTCTTATAGTGACCTGAGACCAAGGGTAACTTATCCATGGCCTCCTCTTCTTGATGATGGTGGTGTTTGAAACAATCACCGATGAAAGTCATACAAATTAAATCTTTTATTTTCCAAACCTAGAAGTCCCAATCAGCAAAAGTTAGTATCAGAGAGGCAATTTGGCTTTTCCTCCATAGCTGCACAGAGTTAAGAGGTTTGAGATGTGAAGTATTGAATGTGAAGAAGAAAGCCTCGCAGTGTGTGTGAAGATACCCTTTAGTGGTCCTCTTCTGAGAGCCAAGTTCACAGCAACTATATAAATCTTTTATATGTTTTCTTTCCCTGTGCTCCAAAGATGCTCTGGGAAAATGAAGTGAAGAAAAGTCAGTGGAAGGAAATAATGAAAAGCCAGTCATCTGGCCATCTCCGTCATACCCCCATGTGGGGCTGGCCTCATGGAAGAGTCAGTTACATCGGTATCAAAGCAGAGCATCTTGAAGAGAAAACTGTCAATCTTCTTGACCGAGATTTATTTCCAAACACATTATTTTCTTGAACATAGTGATAAACACAGAGGTTTTTATTTGAAACAGCATCATTTTTATGGGAAGCCTGACGAAAGAACACTTCCTGACTTTGAATCTATACTCCTCTGCCAGCTGTGTAAACTTAGGCAAGTTAATTCTTTTTTCCGAACCTCAGCTTCACCAAATGTGAAATGATGATAATAATGCCTACCTCAAAAGATGGTTATGAGCATGGTGCTTGGTACCTAAATGGTACTCTGTGAATGTTAGTGAACTTTACCTTCCTCATATAGAAGCGGGAGTTAGAAGGGCAGAGTTCTTAGTTATTCTCAGTCCACATCTTTAAAAAAAAAAAAAAAACCAGTATCTACTATTTATTCATTCATTCACCCAAGTGTATTAAGTACCTTTTATATGCTGGATACTCCTCTAGGCACTGAGAATGCAGACAGGGTCCCTCTCTTCATGGAGCTTATATTCTAATGGGTAGAGACAGATAACAAATAAGTAAAGACATAAGCAATATAGTAAGTATAATGAAAACAATAAAATAAGATAATATGATAGAGATGGGTAGACCTAACTATTTCAGAAAGGGTGATCAGGAAAGGCCCGAAGTGGTAAAATTTGAATTAAAGCTTGGATAATGAAAGGAACTAGCCATACCAGGATAGGAAGGAAGAGCATTCCCAGCAAGGGGAACAGTAAGTGAGAACACCCCAAGCCTAGTTTGAGCTTGGCATGTTTGCAGAACAGAGCAGATGTAATGGAATGCAGGAGGTGTGGAAGAGTAGGGTTCAAAGTGAAACTGTAAAAAGAAGCAGAGCAAAGAGGGAAAAGGGAGGAAAGAGCAGGTCTTTGAACCAACACACTTCACATTATTGAGCATATGCCGAGTACTCTTCTAAGTTCTGAGGATACATCAGTGACAGCACAAAGTCCCTTCCCTCAGGGGTTGACAGTCTAGTGAAAGAAGTCTCATTGGGTCTTGCGGGCCCTGGGGGGCATTTGCATTTCATTTTAATTATGTTGCCTGTTTGATCTTCACAATCTCTGTCTAAGATAGGTATTATTATCCTCCTTTTATAGAGGAGAAAATAGAGGCTCCCAGGGGTTAGGTTATATAACCTGCCTGAAGTACCTCATTTGTGGTGAGGGTAGATGGTTTAGCAAGAGAATAGAACTGCGTGCCTCTCTTTGAGTCACATTGTTGGCAAGTGTAGAGCCTGGGTTCAAAGCCTAGACAGTCTGGCTCCAAGGACTTTCCCCCACCAACACATTCCTTTATTCCTCTTTGTTAGAAAGGAAGAATATTTGCCAGTACTTTAAAGCCATGACAAACGCAACTAAACCATTGTCTAGGAATCACCCAATCACTGGGCCTGGGTCTGAAGCAGCCCCTTGGAATCCAAGAGTGCAAAGAACTGTCCCCTTATCCCTTGTTAGGCAGCAGTGGCCCCCTTCTCTTAGCACCTCTGCAGCAGAAAAAGAAATGGCTCCACAGAGGGTACCACAGGGCACAGGTGTCCAAGGTCTCAAGAACGGGCAGCTCCAGTAATCAACAGTGTTCTGTTGGGATAACCAGAAGTATTGATCCTGCAGCAGAGAGATCCTGTGGCATTTCCCATGCTCTGGAAGGCACCACAATGAATGAATTGGCTATTCTATTTGATGTTCACTTAATTAAGACATCCAGTCCTTCTAATGGACAGTGTAAGGAGTGGAAATTACTGTTTTTCAGCCATTTCATATAAAATGAAAACCAGATCTTGAAACATGGGTCCTTTTCATTGAATCTACAGGCTCAATTTAATTATGTATTACAGGCTACCTTCAATAATAATTACAATTATCTGCCTTTATATGCAAAGCCTCTTTCTGTCTAGGGGACAGAAATTCTAGGGAGATACTTAAGGAGCTTGCTAAAGTACCATTTAGTGAAAGCAGTTGTTTCCATATTGGTGCATTCAGCAGATGTTTATTGTGTGCCTACTGTGTGTCAAGTCTCTGTCTGGTCCTATAGGAGGTAGCGTGTGAATGAATCATGGTCTCCACTCTCCAAAAGACCAAGAAAGAGGCCCCGCTAATCCAAGCATGCATTAATTTATTTGTTTGGCCAAAATTCCCTGCCTGTCTTCTCTGTGCCAGTTCCAATGCTGGGGAAGCAGAGATGAACTGAGCCACTCTTCCAGGGTCCCTTTGCTGGCAGGCGGTGGAATCCATATTCCTTGCCTGGCTGGCTGACTCCACAGCCTTGTTCTGACTCAAGCACTGCCAGGCCCAAGCAGGAGACAATTTGTATGTCGACTATACTTTTTTTATCTTCATGAGAGGATGGGATTATTGATTTTAGAGAGAGAGGAATATTGGGGGAGAGAGAAAGAGAGAAACATCAATGTGAGAGAGAAACATCAGTCAGGTGCCTCCTGCATGCTCCCCAACCGAGGATTGAACCTGCTACCTAGGTGTGTGCCCTGACCAGGAATGGAACTCACAACTTTTTCGTGTATGGGATGGTACTGCAACCAACTGAGCCACCCTGCCAGGGCCATCAGCTATTTCAGTGGGGGAGCAGGGCACATTCTATGATAGAACTGTGCCAGAGACTCATAGGAGAGACCAGGGAGAGCTCTTTTATGAGGTGGCATTTGAACAAGGCCTTGTTAGAAGCAGTATTGAAGTGACATCTGACCCCAATCAATAACCTCTCTATCAATTCTTATTTATAAGACTCTAAACCTCCTTTTTAAGTACCCTGCATGGTATAATAAAATGCTTTTTACCCAGTTAGGTCAGGAAATTAGATAGTTTGAGTAAGTAGTCTCATCAATAAAGAGGATGTATATGAATAACAGGTGTTCGAAGAACCAGACTAGATCAGCATCCATCCCATGAAGTTGTTGGAGGGAGATAGATCTTCCTGGTGATTTAAAAGATGACTCAGAATTTGACAGGGTTCAGCTTACCTGTAGACCACATGTACATTAAGATGACCAGGGCAGAACCAGTTTTAGGAAATCTTGACTTTTGGCATACCCTTGTAATATTTTACTGAAAAGCCTTGGAGATTGATATTGGCAGATGTCCTATAATGAGACTCTTCTCTAAATGCCAGTAGTTTAAGAGGTCCCCTCCCCCAAGATGGCCATGGTCACAAGTTCCCTGTGTGCCATCACGACACTTCTGACAATGAAAATAATCTTGTTAATTATAGAAAATCTTGGGACATAAACATCTATAAATAAGCAATTAAAATCTACTTCCAAAAGATAACCGCTGTAAACATTTCTGTGAAATTCCTTCCTGTTCAAATGTCCAGCAGCGGTAAAGGGTCAAAAAGAACAGCAGCATCTCCTAGAGTGACAGGGAGCAGAGCTCTGAGGGAGTCCCAGGTGGGAAGGGCCTTAGGACAAACATTCCAGATCTTTACCCCCGGACTCACCCTCCTTCCCAGCAGTAGCCTCTGAGGACCACTCCTCATCCAGCTCTGAGGGGCACGCTGCCCCTTTGACACTCCAGCCCAGGGTCCAGGCCACGCCATCACCCTTCCTTCCCTAATGCACACTGAGTACTTCCTTCAAGAATCATTGCTAAGGAAGAAAAAGGAGAAATCAGGACAGGAAACAGGTTTCCACAGATCTGTAACTGCCTGTGGGGGAGCTGAAAGGAGTGAAGATGGCCCCACAGCCCTGCTCCTCTGAGCCCAGGCACGAGAGTGTAGTAGAGACCACTGTGTTGCTTGCCCCCTTGGAAGGGGCTTTCGTTTCCCTTCCTCATGCCTAAGGAACAGAGATTCGGCCTCCCACAGTCCCTTCCCTCAGAGTTAGTCTTGGGTCAAAGCCTTGGGGGGGAGTCATTCAAAAGACCTTTACCAACACCTCCTCTGTGGCAGACCGCGCCAGGGACTGTCACCGTTCAGTGTCAAGAATGCCATGCTCAGTACCAGGCACAGGGAAAGAATGAGCTGGCAGGTGGCAGAATTCATGCAGCACCCAAATCTGACCCCTGGCAGGAAATTACTCAGCAAAAGGCCTACCGAGTCCCACCCGTCAAGCCTCACCTGAAACCATAGAAGCTGCAGGACCCAGAAATCCACAGGAAGCCAGGCCCAGGTAAAGGAATCACAGAAGAGCCAGGGAACAAGCTGAACTTTTGGGCCTTCATTTCACCACTGTTAAAACCCTCAGGGGCCCTAGGGTGAGCTTTACCCCAGTAGTAAAAGCAAAGCAGGAAAAAAAAAAAGCCCAGTGGGGAGACCCCGAGTTCATGGGGGAGACATATGTGGATGAACCCATGCTGCAAGCTTGAGTGCAAGTGGAAGTCAGAAATACTGGCATCTAGCTCTTGCTTCAGCAGCGCATACGCTAACATTGGAACAATGCAGAAATTAGCATGGCCCCTGCGCAAAGATGGCATGCAAATTCATGAAGCCAAAAAAAATATCAACAGCGGATGAACTTTTTCCCTATTCACACACAAGTGCAAAAAGGCTGTTTAAACCTACCTTTTGACACTTCAGCCTCCCCTAATTAAAAATAATGACTAAGATGTTAATGGCTTACTCCCTGCCATCTTCCAACCACTGTACAGCAAGTAGGTGAGCATGCGAAATGGATACTTGTATATAGGCAGCACAGGAGTGCTTGTTGAAGAGAGAAGCAAGTGGTGGCTTAAAAGCAGATAGGTCTGCATTTGAACTTTCACTCTACCACACTCATCTGTGTGACCTTGAGCAGGTGACTTCACTATTCTGAGCCTTCTCCAAAAGGGAGATAATATGTACCTTTTAGACTAGTTGTGAGGAGGATTAAATGAAAGAATATATGAAAAGGGACTAGCACTGTACCTGCTACATTGGAGGCTACATAGTGGTAGGTACTTCTTTTATTACTATCAGGCGAATAGGGAAACGAATTAAGATTCAATTATGATACTTCAGATGGACCGCACCAGAGCAAAGCTGTGAGTTTTGAGAGTTTTTTAGTGCCAGATGGGAAGTCTAAATGGGAAGACGTGGCAAGATCTTATCTGTTTAGTCTGCTTATGTGGCAGCAGAGTCTTGGTTTGAATTCAGAGTCCTCTTTTCTCAGGATCTATAGCCTCCTAGGAAGCCCCATCTCTAGTGTTGTTCAGGTAAAATCTCTGTACAAGCTCTGAGGGGCTTTGAGAGGGTATTCAAGCATCAGGTTTGCCCACCTCAGCTCTGGGAGTCCCCCAGCTTTGAGGCCCTGGGTCAGCAGTCTCACATGGCCACCATCATCTCAACCTTCATGGGTGAATATTAGTTTATAGCTACAGGGCACTTTCACGTGTTCCTTACAGTAATCCTGGTTGGTAGGCAGGAGAGGGCTTATCGTCGCTGCTTTATGAAATTAGGAAAGGATGGCTCAGAGAGGTAAGTCATTTGCCTACAGCCAGATATCAGCAGGTGGAGCCTTGTCCTGAAAACTATGTGTGCAGAGATGTAGGAGACATAGAAATGTATCCAGCCAGAAAGAAAAGCAGAACATGCAAAACTGTGGCATGAGGTAGAATGTACCAAGTTCCAGCTCTAGCACCATTCTATTCCTGTTACTCAGAACCACCCCTTGGTTTTCAGGTACGACAGCTTTGGCCGTCTGACAAATGTGACCTTCCCTACTGGCCAGGTGAGCAGTTTCCGAAGCGATACAGACAGCTCAGTGCATGTCCAGGTAGAGACCTCCAGCAAAGATGATGTCACCATAACCACCAACCTGTCTGCTTCGGGTGCCTTCTATACCCTGCTGCAAGGTAAGCCTTCTATACGCTGCACAGACTGGGGGACTTTGAAGCAGAGGGATGAGGAGACCCATTTGGAAGAGGATGATATAAGAAACTAGCTGCTACTGGAGCTGCCAAAGAACAGGGAAGCTCTACAACTCATTTCCCTCTGTATTGCCACCTAATTTGCAAAACACACTAGGCTGAGTCCTGTAAATTCTCTCCCAGAAGCTTCAGAGTAATATTTCATTGTCTCATCCCATTATCATCAGAACAAAGGGTAGAAAATCCATTAGCTCCTAATGGAGGTGACCTCACTGTTCTGCCATTCTAATGGCTCTCAGATTAAAGACTTAGTCTCACACTGGTGCAGGCGAGGACAAAGGACAGAATAATTTCACCTAATTATGAAAGGGATTTAGGCATGGAGAAGTCCTTCCTGAAGCTCAGGTGAGAACAGCTTGTGCCTCTGCTAGGATTCCACAGAGAGAAGACCCTTCCTCTCTGCATCCATCACATAATCCCTGATATGAGCTGATCTTTCAGCTTCAGCTAAATCTCATTGTGGAAACATTGCTGTAAATTGTCTGCCTCAGTTGTTCTCCTAGGATGTGGTGACCTAGAGTGGGGCTCGCAGCCTTGTGGGACTCAGTAAGCACAAAAAAAAAAAAGAAGAAGAAGAAGAAGACACCTGCAAGAAAAGCCTTGCTTGGTCTGTCCCCTGCTCCCGAAAGCTTTAACACAAAATGGTAAAAAGAACCCGGGGCTGGGAGTCATACACCCAAATTCTAGCCCTGCCATGTCACCATGACCCTCAATTTTTTTCTCTGGGAAAAGCAAGCAAGTTGAAGCCGTGTCAAATGGGGTAGGGCAGTGCAAAGAGCAGGAGCTCGGAGGTAGACAGACTGGGATCCCTACGGCTGCTGCACCAGTTCCTGCCTGTGTGAACTGGATGCAGCCACTCTTCGCTGGGCCTCAGTTTCTGGGTCTGGGAAGTGGGGCTGATTTATAATGCCCACCTCAGAGGGTTGCTCAGACCATCACTATAGATAACACACATAGAGTGACCAGCATGGGCCAGGCACATAGAATTACTCAGTATTTGTCAGGTTAATTTACTAATTAATTAACAAGAAGTTTGCTTTGATTTGCCATAAGAAAATAATTATATATTTTCACAACCACTTTTACTCCCAAATGTATTCTTGTGCCTTTAAAAACTCAAAGAACATGCAAAGAAAAAGAAACTAGACCACCAACTTACACCATACAGAAGAATAAACTCAAAATGGATTAAAGACTTAAATGTAAGTTACAATACCATAAAAATTCTAGAAGAAAACATAGGCACTAAAATTTCAGACATTTCTTGTAGCAATACTTTTTTTTGCTCGGTCAAGGGAAACAAAGGAAAAAATAAACAAATGGGACTACATTAAACTTAAAAGCTTTTGCACAGCAGAAGAAACCATCAACAAAATGAAAAAAGAATCCAATGACTGGGAGACCATATTTGCCAATGATACATATGATAAGAGGTTAATTACAAAAATCTTACACTACTCAATACCAAGAAGACAAATTTTTTTTAAATGGGCCGAGGACTTGAATAGATACTTCTCCAAAGAGGACACATAGATGACCAATAGTCATGAAAAAAAGTTCAACATCACTAATCATCAGAGAGATGGAAATTGAAACCACAATGAGATATCACCTCACTCACACCTGTCAGAATAGTTGTCATCAATAAATCAGCAAACAACAAGCTCTGGCAAGGATGTGGAGAAAGGGGGACCCTTGTGCGCTGTTTGTGGGAATGCAAATTGGTGCAGCCATTGAGGAAAACAGTATGGAATTTTCTCAAAAAAAATTAAAAATGGAAATGCCTTATGACCCATCAATTCAACTTCTTGGAATTTACCCGAAAAAATCTGAAACACTAATTTGAAAGAATATATGCACCTCTACATTCATGGCAGCTTTATTTACAATAGTCAAGATATAGAAACAACCCAAGTCCCCACAGTAGATAGGTGAATAAAAAAGCTTTGGTACATTATACAATGGAATACTACTCAGCTTTTAAAAAAGGAAATCTTACCTTTTGCAACAGCATGGATGGACCTGGAAAGATTATTACTCTAAGTGAAATAAGACAGAGAAAGACAAATACCATATGACCTCATTCCACATATGTGGAACCTAATGAACAAAATAAACTGATAAACAAAATAGAACTAGAAGCATGGATACATGGAACAGACTGACACCTGTCAGAGGGGCAGGGGTTGAGAGGCTTGAAGAAAGAAGGTGAAGGGATTAAGCAAACACGCACACACATATAAAAGAATCGACACAGACCACAGACAGCAGGATGGTGTTAGCCAGAGGGACAGGGGGTTGGGGATAGGTGGAGGTGGGCACACAGGGGGGAAATGGGGATGGAAAGAGACTTTGCTTGGGGCAATGGGTGCGCAATGCAGTGTGCAGATGATGTTTCATTGAGTTGTACACCTGAAACCTGTATGGCTCTGTGAACCAATGTCACCCCAGTCAATTCAATTTAAAAGCTCAGAACAATAGCCGTTCTCAGTCAAAGAAAGAGAAGCCAAGCCCTGGAATTCCTTCCCCACCAAGCACCTGTAGCAGTGGGTTGGGACCCACCCCAGATATTTATGCTCTGACTGGGTTATTACCCAGACAAGGTACAATCCCAAGCCAGTCAGGCTTCCGCCCGACCAGGGACAGCAAGGCCACTGATTACTGAGACATCTTGTCTTTCAGGCCCGTTTTCTTCCCTGGGGTTAAGAATTGTCTCACCCAAGGCATGCCTCCAAGCTGGCTTTGAGTAATTTTCTCAAAAGTTAATGCAGATTTTCTTATATTTGGGCAACTTTTTGAAATTCAAAGGTGCCATCAAAAAGGCTTTAAAATGTGCAATCAATTTAATAAGAACTTTTCAGGTGGTGGTATGAGGCAGGGGCAACACACTGCCTGAAATTTGTACAAGGATGTAAGGCACATTGCAATTTCAGAAACATTGAAATGTGGAAGGGACAAGTACACATTGGAATCCAGGAGACATGGTACCTGTTCTTCCTCTGTGGTATCTTCTGCCAAGTTCCCTTTCCTTCTTTCGTACCAGGCCCAGATGCTCAGTTTTGCAGCCACCTCAGTAGTCTTTTTAAAAAGCTCTTTCAGTTTCATCTCATGTCTGAACTCTGGGAAGAAATGGGAAGTAGCTGCTAATGAGCAGCAGCCTTGAGAAGTCACAGCTCCCAGTAAACGGGGATCATTTGAGATGGGCCTGTGCAGATGCTGTTCCAGCCAAAGTCACCATTAATGGACGTATGTGGATTCAGCAAGAAGCAGCTTTAAAAGATAAATTGACACAGGCTTTTTCACTGTTCAAAGGAAGTAAAATACAGATTGTTAGTGAATAATGCATTGCAGGTTTGAGGCAGATTTTAGAATTCCGTATGTGAGAGAGAAAAAGGGAGAAAATGGAGAGAGGAGGAAATGGGGGGGAGAGGGGCCAATTTGATGCTTTTTCTGGCAGGGAAGATTCCCTGAGGGTTTCCTACAAAAACTATGTCCTTATTTCCTGGAATATATCTAGTGCAGTCCAACAAATGTTTACTAAGTACATGCAATAAAGACAATAACAGTAACAAACATTTTGGAGCACTTATTGGTGTG